TAAATTGTAAAAGCGTGCACCGACATACATATTACACGTTTTACAATCAGCGGCGTTGATGTATATCACTTGTTTATAACAAATTATTTTGACCTGCAAATCTGTTTATTATTAGTCTACCGTTAACTGCGCCATCGATTGTCATCACTTTTATTTATTTTTATTTTGACTGTGTTAAAATTATATATTTAAGAAAAAAAAACAAGAACCTACAATTATTGATTGTAAAACTAACAAATTAAACTTTAATGATTTTGCAATTTTTTGTTGGTACATAATGATTTTTCATTTTATTACACATGTATTTGTATTTTATTATAATTTTAACTGATCAATTTTCAACATACTGTTCATCTCACCGCTTAGTTGAAAAAAAAATTGTTTTAGTTGAAGCGATTGTCTTATTTGGATTTTTTGAGGAGCGTAATTAAAACACAAACGTGTAAGCAATAAAGCAAATACATATGAGAAAACATTTTCTCATTTTTAACGAAGAAAATTTTTCTCATATTAGTGACTTATAGTATAAATAGGGTCTACAAAATAGTAGAGAGAGAAAAAATTCAAGGTGAGACCCATTTATACTATGAGTCACTAGTAGGAGAAAATGTTTTCCCATAGAAAATGTTCTCCTTTATACTATGTTTTCCCAAAATACATTCACGAATATAAAACCCTCATATAAAACCCTATGGACTGGAATCTGATTGCGTCTCCTCCCCATCCTCATCATCCTCCTCCACATCATCGTCATCCTCAACAGCAGCATCAGCCTCCTCACGAGTGTGGGCACCCTGTCTGTAGCCAGCCTCCGGGCGTGTAACCCTGGTGTCAATTTGGGTCCGCCACTGCTTGTGCTCTGTCTATATCCTCTAAACTCAATGGTCAAGGAGTCAAGGCCACATGTCAGGCTATACATGGATGCCATGACATGATCAAATGTCCATCCACCCTCAAGAGATGGAGGAGCTGGATTCGAGTGGGACGTGTCGGTACGTCATCAACAACAGTAGCCCCATCATCATCGTCATCGTCATCGTCACAAGGTCTGCATCATAAGTCATGAAAAACACATATTATAATTAAGAACCGTAAAAACAACAACAATAATGCATTACTAAACCCAAAACACATCATCTACAGGTGCATCCTCCATCTCAACATCGTGATGGAGTGGGATCTCAGGTGGTTCTGGTGCCCTCTTCCAGTACCAGGTACCTGCTCTGCTCTGCAAGATCCCACACTGCTTCAGGAGCCGTTCACCAAATATAGCATTTTAGCCTGTGACCGTCTTCATGGTCTTTGTTGCCATATGCACACCAAATCTATGCAGAATCTTATGCACCAGGAATGCAAAAGGCAATTCAGCCTTCCTTGACTTTGCAACCTTCCACATCAGTATGCATATATAATGCCTCCAGTTCACCTACTGATGGTGAAGAAGGGCCCACAAGATGACAAAGTCTCTTTCCAGCACCTTCGAGTGATTATGCGGACGCTGAAAAATAATGTGTGTGACCACATAATGAAGAATGCGAGCAGACACCGACAAGTTGCTCACAGGATAATGAGCAAATTGTTCGGCCTCAGCATCTGCCCTCCTGGTCTCTGTAACAATGGCCTCCCGGTCATAATCACCAAATATATGATGGTTGTCTCCATGATATAGTGCTGCATTTGTGACCTATGAAGCACCGACACTTTAAAATCTCTAACGTGTCGCGTCCGACACTTCTCAACACTCACCGATACTCCGACACTTCCCGACACTCCAATACTCGTTGCAAAGACTCAAAAAAGGTTTAAAAGTTACGTTGCGTTACATTTTGAGTTCTAACTATTAGATTCTTTCGATTACGATTACTATTTTATTGAGTTTAATATAAACATTTGGGATATCTTATGTTTTTTTGCAAAATTGATGGGTATTATAAATTTAGCTTTATTTTTTTTGTTAAATTATTGAATATTAAATATTATATACACTACATAAATTAAAAAATATTATATAATATCAAAACGTATCCTAACGTGTCGAAATTTAATATTTTTAAAATTAACGTGTCGGAGTATCGTGTCTTGTCGTATCCTGTGTCCCGTGTCAGTGTCGGTGCAACATAGCTTGTGATAGCATCAAAGTCGAACCCCAGTAGCTCTGTCTAGATAGGAGCAATCATGATGATATCAATACCGCAGACACGAGAAGTCAGCTCGCCATGCACATAGGCAAGGTTTTGGTAGAATGCTCTCACCATAACCTCCGAGTATGGGCACCGCATCTCCACAAGCACAAGCAAATGTGTCTTCTCAAGAAGCGGCACAATGTCGAAATGCTCCAAGTTGAAGAAGGCCGAATCCAGTGATTTCGGCTCGCAAATCTTCTGGCTCATGAATGACTTCACAAACCTCTCATGTGCAACACTGTCATCCTCAAACAAATATCCGAACGGCAAGTCCGGAGCCTGATGCATAGCAGCCTGGGGCTGAGAGGATGACGACCCATCGTGTCGACGCTTGGTCCTCCTCTGGGTTTCCCCCACAGGCATCTTTAAAACACATCTAGAAGCCATTGCGTCACACTATGAAACTGAAAAAAAGAAGCCAAAATCAGAAATCAGAAACATAAAGGTTAGGGTTAAGGATACAGTTAGTAATTTTAAAAATTAATCAAATCAAATGTTTAGCCATGCAAACTACAAAACCGCAATAATTTTTGGATAACAAGTGACAAACACATCAAAATCAGAACCTAATTGATAAAAAGGAAAAAAAATGAACCTTGAATGGATTTCAACCGGTAGAAGGCAGCAATGTAACGTGCACGAACAAAAAGGAAGAATTTCAGCAAGATTTGGTGTGAGAATCGCGTTATTACACACCTCCAGCAGCTCTACCCGGGTACCCCTTTGTGAGTTTTCCAAATGGGGGCTGCTGGGTTATATAAAAACCCTTCCTGCGACATTTACCCGGGTAAATAATTCAAACATTTCCCATATTCAAGAAATATACTCGGGTATCCCCCTCCCTACTCAGGTATGGTAAAAATTTCAAAAAATACTCAGGTAGGGAGGGGGATACCCGAATAGGCTTCGTGCTCAATGGTCAAACATGGGCAGATTAGTGTTATATTTTTTGGAAGGGTTAATTTTTCGAAATAGTTTCTAATCAAGGACAATTTGATAATTAATTATTAAATAAGGGCTACAGTGGTCAAAAAAAGCCCTTTTTTATGACTTCCTTATTTTAAAAGTATTTTCTATAAAAGCTACAGCTAATTAGATTTTTAAAAAAATATTTGACTTTTGACTTCTGCTTTTTTTAGAAGATAAAATTTGTAGCTTCTGAAAAAAGGTTTTTGACCTTTTTTATGTCTTTTTTTTTTTCTAAAAGCAAGCATCCAAAAAAATATTTTTCGAGAAGTGCTTTTTTTTTAAAAGCAACTTTTGAAGAAAAAACACTCATCCAAACGGACTCTATATACGAGTGCATATACTAGTTAGGTATAGTACATTGCTGACGTGAAACATTAGGACGGATCTTATTATATTTGCTAACTTTAGATATGTCATTTTGTTGTTAAATTTTAAAGGGAAAAAAAATCATATTGCGTTTAAAGGTGTCAAAACAAATTATGACATACACATCAACCCTGACAGGATAAGAAAATTTGTATTTGGATTGACCCACAAAAAAATTTATATCATATCAAATTTGTGTAGACTGTATTTTTTTAATTATTTTTTATTTTTAAATTTTGACCCATTTTTTAATTTTCTTTAGTCAATTACCATTTTAACTCCTATTTTGTGTGTCATTCGTATTGTATCGTGTCAATTTACAAAAAAAAATTTATATCATGTTGATGTTAATTTTTTTGAAATGAATAAAAATTTATATCATGTTGATATTAAGTATTCGTATAATGTGGAACCATTTATCCTTAATTACGTCAACTCTCAATTATCTATTCACCGATTCACCCTATTTTCTTTTTGGTGGGGACAGCTTGATTCATTTCTACTTTAGTCCTACTTTTCGCTCGCTTATTGGTTTCATACTGTTTTATCACAATCTGACCGTGACCCATGTGGTCCAAGTTTCGTCTTTAATTACCAAAAGTAGTATAATCCCGTTTCTCGCAAAAGTAAAATTATATTATTATTATTTGTTTGTCGAAAAATATTTATCATTTTAAATAACATAACTTATATTCTTTCACTCTCACATAGAGGTAAGATTCACACCTTTAATTTTTTTGTCAATTCTCTTTCTTCCTTTATCTATCTCTTTTTCTCTCGACACAAGTTTACATCCTTTAAAATGACACACATTTTTTCTTATATTTAATTGTAACAAGTTAAAAGTTTAATAAACTCTAGCATGAGGAAGAATATTAAAATAACTAAAAAATATATCATAATATTAAAATTATACATTAAAATAATTTAGAGTATTTTAAATATTATCTTTAGAATAAATTTTATATATAATGTATTTTTTATTTAATTAAAATTAAAAGTCTTCTTAGAACTTTTCCTTTTGTATTATATCATCATAACACTTATTCTTTTTCTCCTCATTTTCTCTTATTTCCACCCAAATTCTTATGATATCACCGGCCACAAATAAAATTAAAGCTTAAAAATAAAGAAATTATTAATCTTATGTTGTACAAAATAAGTATTTTGTATGGGTAAAATGAAGTTATGGGATCCACAAATTTTTTTTTAAAAAAAGAAGAAGAGAAAAAATAGATACAAGATTTCATGAGTGTAATATTTATCATACGTGACATAAGATAATAACTATTTTACTTAAAAACAAAATAGGATATCGCTATTGCAGCTGCATGCATGCCAAAAAAAGAAACAGTAAATAACTATAGTTGGTTTTGCCTTGGTGTATATGCACGATTGGGAAGTTTCCACGAAGTTTCCTACGTCATTTCCAACATCTACAAGTCTCCTAAGTCAATCTCCACATCCATTCTCGTCGAAGCGAAGAAGGATTCAACCTGCTTTTTTGGCAATACGCTGATACCGTTCACTGATATAAGTGATATCAGTATTGGATCGAAATCTCTTTTGCAGAACTCAGGTCTCTATTTGTAACTCCGCGACCACATACATATCTTCTTTCTCTTACGGTATCTATACATCTTATTTTTTAAAAGAATTTATTTTCCATTGCACAATAATTATATATTATCACTCGTTATGTTCACCATATATAGTCTCCATTACAGCAGAATCATGCATTTCCCATTCCATAGTAAGTTCCTTCTGATAGTGATATGTATATACTCGGAATTAGTTAAAACTCGATTCCATAAAATTATTAATTAACTCATCATCTCATCCAAATTCATCCTCCGTCTTTCTCTTGGTAATTAAGAATTTCAAGAGTTCCGTTTCCATTGATTGATATATTTGATTTATTTTATTTTAGTGAACTTATATATTGTTTGCGTTAAATTTGACAATTATATGATAAGCTTTTTACAGACTCAATTTTTAATTTATCTTCTATTTATTTTTAATTCCACCACAAAGTGAAGGCAGGAAGATCGAATTCGTGATTAGTTAATCATTGAAGTTTTGATATCATGTAAAGAATCAATTCAACTCAAAAGCTTTATATGGTTGGGTAAGTGTATTTTAATTATTTATATTATTGTGTAACAATACCTTCCATCTCTGTTTAATTAGTGAGTCAATTTTTAATATTTTAACCGAGTACTCAATTTTCTCTTTCCTCCATTCTTTATGTTTTCATTAACGTAGTATTTACTTAGAGTAAATAACTTTCCACCTTGCTTAAAATACTATACTTACAGCAATCCAGTATGTAATACATCCCCTTTATAAGATTTCTTTTGGTTAGTGATTATCACAATGAGTAATTAATTGTATAAAAAACAATACTTTATTATAAGAAAGCATCCATCCCTATTCACGGAACATAGCCAAAAGAAGAGAGGAATGCATTCTAGCTAGACGTGCCAACAAGTACGTAGATTTCATTTTAAAAGATCTACATATACACCACGAATAATTTAACTTTTCCAATCAGGAAAACACGCATATCCAAAAGATGTAAATCTTAAGGTTTGAATTCAGAAAAAACGAAGCACAAAAAGTGATCAATTGGTTTTTATCAATCCATAAGAGTAGGATGGAAGCACACTCACACATTTTGACTATAAGTATTATTTACTCATTTACTTTTTGATGTATTTAAAAAACGATAATTGAACCCCAGTTGGCAGCTGAGCTCCCAAGGGATTGTTTGGCGCAGGGATCAAACCCTGCCTCAAGCAGTTTCTTGGAAAATCTTTGGGGGCTAGAGGATAAGCCAAAAAATCTTCGGTTGGGGGATTAGTCTCGTCCTTTCTCCGGTTGCGAAGCTTAGTGCACCCACTGTTATAATGAGGGGCTAGCCCAAACGGGCCATACCCCGAGGGCATGGTGCCCGGAGAAGGTTGAATGGGACACAAACTGAGTATTTCAACCTATCTCAAAAGTGGGGCGTGCTCATTTTTTGATGGGTTGATGGTGGATACGGACGGGCTGAGGCGAGTAAGTGTAAAGTAGGCTCGGGCTAGCTGGCCAACCCGCACAACCCATCAAACGGGAGGAGATGAGCTGAGTTTTTTAGCCCACTTTCAAAAGCGGAGTAGGACAGACTAGCTCATTTTTTTTTGATGGGTTGACGGCGAGACCCGCCTACTTTGCCACCTCACTCGTGCCCTTTTCCCTTGGTCTGTGATGCATTATGTTTGTTACTTGTTAGACTTGAGCTAAATTGATAAGCATGTTGAGTTATAGATTAGGAACAAATATAGCTCAAGACCTATGATTTGTGAAAACTAATGTTATTGGAATATTTCATGGGATTGAAATCTCACGCTAATTCTGATACCTTAGCAGCATTTACATTTGCTAGCTAGTTGAAAGGAGGAAGTATTATTTACAAATATGCTTGACGTACAAGCTAGATGTCCAATTCTTGATTTACACAGTAGCCGGATGTTTTCAGAATTTATGATCGCCATGGATTCACACAGATTACTTTAAAAGGTACACACTTATCGCTTGCATGATTCGTGTTTTATAATAAATTATAGGGCAAGAGTGGTGTACCGAAAATGCAGCATCAATCACTATATAATACTTAATTAACACATCATATCTTAATTTTAAAATACATCAAGAAACAAAGGAATATATATACACCAATAGTAATGGTTGACGTTAGTTCGTGCTTAGCTAGCAACAACTCTTGTTTGGGTTTTCTATTTTTAGAAAAAATGAAGGGTAAATTGAAAATGAAAATGAGAGAATGATGAGGTAAATTATATACCCTGTGTGTCCTGAGATATTGTCCACAAAAATTTAACGGAACGGAGCGCCACTCTAGCATCACCACACAATAGCACAGGGCGCACAACTCTGTTGTTTGTTTTTTTTTTTAATTATTAATTTTATTCGTTCATAGTTTTAAATTATTATTAATTATTTACTACATTGAATAATAATAGGTTGGAATTGGATGGAGATGGTGGGCCCCGTAAACCGGTGATCCGTGGTTTTTGTTGTGCTAGTGCAGGCACATCCCTGTTTGTGTGTGTGTGTGGTGTGGCCATTTGCGTTTCCCACGCAGTGAGCATTTGAATTCGTTGTGAAGACGGCAACCATGACTCCTGCTTCCAACGGCCACCTCACCGTCACCGTAAACGTCGATAGCACGCACCCACCTGACAATGACGCCCTCCCTCCCTCCGACAACAACCAAGATGACGACGACGACGAACTCGTTGATCCCGACGATCCTTTCGACATTGCCCAAACCAAAAATGCATCGCACGAGACGCTCAGGCGTTGGAGAGTAATCATTCTATTCCTATTCCTATTCCTATTCCTATTCCTATTTCTATATTATATTTGTTATTCGTAAATTAATGTGCATAAATGTATATATGGTTGCATGGTTGTTGGGAATGTAGATATGCATTCGTTAGTGTAATCACCAACTCGTTGCAACTCCTCAGAGACTCTTTATTGTAAAGCGTGTTTTTGTTTGAAGTTTGAAATAGGAGAAAGAAGAAATGAATTTACAAGTTGTTTGTGACCATTTAACAACCTGCGAATGCATCTACTAGGTTTAGAAATAGAAGGAACGAGAGACTTGATTTAATTGGCTACAAGTTGGATGATAAGTACTGAATAAATGGAAAGAAGATCAGTTCTGATTCTGAATGAAAAATCCAATATGATTCTTTGGTGTGGGTATTACGATCCAAAGAACTCAAGGAACACATGGAAAATGAAGTAATGAATATTCTGATTAATTCTTGATGATACAGATCATATATATACAGAGAGTACAAAGCATGAACTAACTTCTAACTAATCTCCGTAAAAAGAGGAACTACTTAACCAATTAACAGATAATGGTTAACAAATAAATAATTAACTACGTGCATCACTTTCATCAGCCCCCCTCAATGTGGGAGGTGTGCATCGAACAACCCCAGCTTGCTGATTAAGTCTTTAAACATTCGTGGAGGCAATGCTTTGGTGAAGGAATCTGCTAGTTGTTCTGAACTAGAGATTGGAAGAAGATGAATGAGTCCACTGTTAATTTTCTCCCGGACAATGTGACAGTCTATCTCTATATGCTTTGACCTCTCATGGAAGCTTGGATTATGGGCTAGATGTATGGCAGAACGATTATCACAAAACACTGCCATTGGCTGCATTAATTGAACTCCTAAATCATTAAGAAGATACTTGACCCATTGCAGCTCACATGTTAAGCTAGCTAATGCTCTATATTCGGCTTCAGAAGATGAACGAGATACAATATTTTGCTTCTTTGATCTCCATCCAATCAAAGAAGACCCAAAAAAAAAGCAATATCCAGTTATGGAACGACGAGTATCTGGACAAGTTGCCCAATCTGAGTCCGCAAAAGCATTGATCTTGGATTCATTTTTGGCTGCAAAGAAAAGCCCTTTACCTGGAGTCCCTTTTAGATACTTCAATACGCGAGTGGCAGCTTGCATATGAAGATCAGTAGGGTTCCCAATATGTTGACTTAGCTGTTGAACAACATAGCTGATATCTGGCCTTGTTGTTGTCAAATAAAGTAGTCTCCCAACTAGTCTTCTGTAGCTACTAGGATCTTAGCATGGTTGACCTTTCTCCCGTTCTAAATTTGTACCCAGTTCCATGGGAGTAGAACATGGTTTGGATCCCAAGAGCCCTCCATCTGCAACTATCTCAAGTGCATATTTTCTCTGGTTAACTATTAATCCATCTGAATAACGAATGATTTCTAATCCAAGAAAATAATGAAGCGCACCCAAGTCCTTGATGCGGAACTGACTATCAAGGAATTGTTTAACACTTTTAATCTCTCTTTCATCATTCATTCCCAGCTAACACTATGTCATCAACATAAATGAGAAGAGCTGTGAATGAACCATTCTTGGATTTAGTAAGCAGTGAATGATCTGCTTCAGATTGAGTGTAACCAATGGATTTCAAAGCAGAAGTAAGCTTCGAATACCATTGTCTGCTGGCTTGTTTCAAGCAATACAATGACTTCTGCAATCGACAAACTTGGCTAGGCTTCGAACATTTGATGCCAAAGGGAAACTCCATATACACTTCTTCATTCAAATCTCCGTGAAGAAAGGCATTGTTGACATCTAACTGTTCCAATAGCCAGCCATTTGAAACTGCAACTGCAAGCAGGGTTCTGATTGTTGTGATCTTAGCTACTGGAGAAAAAGTATCTAGGAAATCCACTCCTTCAAGTTGAGTGTATCCCTTTGCTACTAGGCGAGCTTTATAACGTTCAACAGTGCCATTTGCATGATATTTCAACTTGAAAACCCACTTACACCCAATTGGTTTCTTGCCAGGAGGGAGTTCAGTGAGTACCCATGTGTTATTCTGCTCTAAGGCAGAAATTTCAGTCTTCATGGCATCACGCCAACACTGATCTTTGACAGCTTCTGAATATGTATGTGGATCAACAATGGTTTGAAGATTAAAGCATAAGGTTTTGTGAGGAAGAGAACATTGGTCATAAGACAAGACAGAAGAGATGGGATAAGTAGCTTTGGATGTGAGTGAACAATGAAAGTCTTGAAGGTAAATGGGACGTTGTTTGATGCGGGTAGAGTGTCTAGGAGTATGTGTAATGGCAGGAGGTGAGGGCATTGATACATGACTTTCATTGGGAAGATAATTAGGTGAAATGTTTAAAGTTTCTGATAAAGTGGAATGGAGGGTAGTGTCATTAGGTGAAATAGGTGGGTTACAGGTAGAAAGTGTATAGGTAGGAAGAGTAGAATTGTTAGGGTCATTTGATAAATGAAAAAGGTCATCTATCAAAGGTACAGAAGAGATGGGCAGAACACATGTGTCTTTACAAGTGACTGCATCACTTTTACTGTCAGCAAATGGAAAGCACTGTTCATAAAATACCACGTTTCGAGAAGCAAATATTTCATAAGACTGAAGGTCATAACCATATATCCTTTGGTTCCATCTTTGTATCCTAGAAACACACACTTTCTAGCTCGCGGGCTGAACTTGTTTCTACTAGATGATAGGGTGTTGGCAAAACACAAACAGCCAAAAACTTTCAAGTGAACCAGTATTGGTGCTGAAGTATGCAGAAGCTCATATGGAGTGCTGTATTGTAAGATGGGACTACTCAGTCTATTAATCAAATGTACAGTATGTAAGATCGAGAAAGACCAGAATTTCAGAGAAACTTTAGATTGAAACATCAAAGCACGAGCTATGCTGAGAAGGTGTTGGTGTTTCCTCTCTACTACACCATTTTGCTGAGGGCATTCCACACAAGAAGTCTGATGGATAATTCCCTCTTTAGCATAAAAGTCCTTCATATAAAACTCTTGTCCATTGTCACTTCTTATTGTTTTAATACATGCACCAAACTGAGTTTTAATCAAAGAAATAAAGTTCTGCAAGTGATTCCTTGTCTCTCCTTTATTTTTCATCAAAACCACCCAAGTATATCTTGAGTAGTCATCAACAACAGTCAGGAAATACCTGAATCCAGTAAGAGAAGTGACAGATAATGGACCCCAAATGTCTACATGAATGAGGTCAAAGGGTTTATCAGCTCTAGTGGTACTCACACTATATGGCAATTTTTTTTGTTTTGCCATGTGACATATCTCACAAGGAGTACAATCTTTATTACACTTTATAAAGGAAAATTTTCTACACATCACTTTCAACACAAAGTCTGAGGCATGTCCAAAACGTAAATGCCATAACATGGAGGCATCACTGGACGTGTTATTTGCAAATTTGCTATCAGAAATATTATCTTCTTCCAATTTCTTGTTGCTGCATGAATCCAATTGGAACAGTCCATTGTGTAATCTAGCTAAACCAATCACTCGCTGTGGCTTGATCTGTTTGATGTAACATACAGAATTACGAAATGTGAGCTCACAATGAAGTGATTCAACTAGCTTGGCCACAAATATTAGATTAATGCAAAAATCTGGAACAAACAAAACATCAGATAAATGCATGTTTTCTAATACTTCAACAGATCCAGAGTGATGAGCTAAAACTTTCGAACCATCAGGTAAAGTGATGGAAACTGGACTAATCTCATGCAAAGAAGTGAAATGAGATAAATTGTAAGATATATGATTCGTTGCTCCTGTGTCAAGGATCCAATGAAAATTTGTCTTACCAGAATTCTGTGTCTCAGCAAGAGTAGCGAATGCTGTAGTGGAAGCTGCGTGGATCATGTTAACAACATGATTATTGGAGTTTTCTTCTTCTCCATTGTGAATCTTTGTCTGTTGCAACATATTCATTATGTTCTGATATTGCTGCTGAGTCATAACCATTGCATCTTGTAAATCATTGCGTTCAGTTCTTTCATCACTGAGAATCGCATTTGCAGAAGCATTCTTGGGCCTTGATTTGAACCCTGGTGGATATCCATGCTTCATATAGCAAATATCCACCGTGTGATTAGTTCTCCCACAGTATGTGCATAGCTTGTTTTCACGTGGCTTTGGACCTCTTTCTTTATTGAAGTTACCATTTCGACGACGCTGATCTACAAAATATGCTTTAGGTTCTATAGCAACTCCTCCATGAACTTCAGAATTAAGCGTTCTTGTTGTGTAACAAGTGAAAACGCCTTGTTCATGTTAGGTAATGGTTGGATCAACATGATCTGTGAGCGAACATGTGAGAACTGATCATTCAGGCCTTTAAGAAACCTGATCACTTGATCACGTTCTCGTCCATGTCGCATTTCATCAAGAGCTCCACAGTAGCATCTTGGTAGAGGACTGAGATTATCCAATTCATCACAAAGTGTTTTCATTTCTGTGTAATAATTAGAAACACTTTTATCTCCTTGATGTAAACGTTGAATATCTTCTTGGAGATCAGCAACACTAAACATGTCAGATTGGGAGAATCGCTCAGAAAGATCGCGCCACACATCAGCAGCATTTTCAATCCACAAAATGGACTTTGAGATCGATTCATCAATGGAACGATGAATCCAAGACAGTACCATTGTGTTGCATCGTTCCCAAGCTGAGAACAAAGGATCCTGATTATCAGGAGGAGGAAAGCTTCCATCTACAAAACAAATCTTGTTTTTCGAAAGCAAAGCCATTTTCATGGCACACAACCAAGTATGGAAGTTGCGTCCAATAAAGGGAGGAGCCACAAGAGCTAAGGATGGATTTTCGCTCGGGTGAAGGTACAATGAGTTCGCTGGATTTGACAAATGATCTGGTAGAGTGCTCTGGTTCGCCATTAGGATGAACAGAAAGGAAATCAAGAACAAAGAAGGAAAATGCTTCAACAGAAGCTAATAGAATTAGGAAGCTGCGATACTAGAGCTCTCTAGAGCTCTGATACCATATTACGATCCAAAGAACTCAAGGAACACATGGAAAATGAAGTAATGAATATTCTGATTAATTCTTGATGATACAAATCTTATATATACAGAGAATACAAAGCATGAACTAACTTCTAAGTAATCTCCGTAAAAAGAGGAACTACTTAACCAATTAACAGATAACGGTTAACAGATAAATAATTAACTACGTGCGTCACTTTCATCAGTGGGGCCAAAGGGTTAGTTTTCAAATTTGTTCAAAACTATTGATTGATTCATGTCTACCTTAAGCTAATAATAAACAGCGAAGAACTCTCCCCTTATTATATTTAAATGAATGTAGAAGTTGCATTTCTGGTTCCTGGGCAGCAAATAATACTCTAATACAGCGGAATTTGTCACGGAGAATTCACCAATCCGTGCAAGTTTTAGCATTATTTAATCACCGGATTGAGTGTTTAACTTGTGTAATTTTGGGGACGAACACTAGTGTAGTAGTATGCTTTTGCAAGTCATCTAAACTAGTTTCATTCATGTGCAGCAAGCAGCACTCGTGCTCAATGCATCCAGGCGTTTTAGATATACTCTGGACTTGAAAAAGGAAGAGGAGAAAGAGCAAAAGAAAAGCTTGATTAGAGCTCATGCGCAAGTCATAAGAGTAATGTTTCGGAATGGAAAATATGTTTTCGAATTAATTGTTTCTAACCATCTTTTATTTTTCTAATCAACGATTGATTGTTCTATTAGGCAGCACTGCTTTTCAGATTGGCCGGTGAGCGTGAGCTAGGTAAACTACCTTTCTTATAAATTACATCTTTCATTTTTTTCTCCCCATCTTTTAATGATTCTGATGATTGTCATCATTGCTTACCAAGAACTTGGAAAGAATAATAATTTTATTAAACATTAGCCTGCTGCCACTGTAATACAAATTAGGAAATCAGGTATTCGCGGCAATGGTAAGTTTGTAGCATAAACATAGTTAGCAAAAACGAACCAGAGTGGTTATTGGCATAAAATCCTAAAAAAAAAGTAAAATAAATTTGGTATTGATGTTTTTCGTTTTTCGTTTTTCTTTTTTCTTTTTTCTTTTTTCTTTTTTCTTTTTTCTTTTAAGGTAACACATGTAAAGCTAGTGGCAGACTATTAATAATGGTTAATAAAATAATTAAGCTATTTGGTTTTTTGTATCTGGAATAAAAGATCCTAATGTATTTGATATCTTTAGGCGGATATGAAATTTAGCAATTATTAACTGGTGAAAGTCACACACCCCTATAGAGCTGTTGTAATGTGAATTGCTTTTAGTTTCTAGTCCTACTTGGCATTCGTTATGCATAAACCAATCTGTATTCTGTAGCAGGAATCTTGATTTGCTTTCAATTAATTTATCTGTTTTTGGCATACATTTAGTTATCTTGTTTCTTGTTTTAGCACTAAAGCTTATGCATTTTGAGTTACTTATTGTGATCTTTCAATTTGTATTTTGAATCATCCAGTGACAGGTGCAGCAATGACACCCCCAACTCCAGTTGATGGTGACTTCGCAGTTGGGCTCGAACAACTTTCTTCAATGTCTAAGGATCAGAATGTTTCTGCTTTACAACAATACGGGGGGGCAAGTCTACAATATATTTTTGGGTTGCTTACACAGATGTTGAAGTGATATGCTTTGCTAATATAATCTAGTGATATCTTGTTTAGATCAAAGGCTTGTCAAATTTACTAAAATCAAATCCGGATAAAGGAATTAGTGGTGATGACGCTGATCTATCAAAAAGGAAAAATGCATTTGGAACTAATACATATCCTCGGAAAAAAGGGAGAAGTTTCTGGGTATATTCATTATGATTTTATCATTTTTTTGAAACTACAATTGATGAATTAATTAATACACCGGCATTAATTCTATGTGATTGTTTTACAGAGGTTTTTATGGGAAGCTTGGCAAGATCTGACTCTCATAATATTGATTATAGCAGCTGCAGTGTCATTGGCACTTGGAATAAAAACAGAGGTATGATTAGGACTCATATTTGCTAATCCTCATCATTCACAATAGTAAATTGAGCATTGGTAATGGATCCCTGATTTTGTGGAAGGAAGTGAAGCTTAATTATGTATGAAAATGGATTCTGGGCATATGAGCTTCACGCTTATGCTTTGCTAGGCTTTTGCCTCTCTTGATAGGTGACACATTTGAAAGAAAAATTTAAGATGAACCTGACCTGACCAGGTCTTATTATGTTTGAACAATTTCTTTCATATGGGCAATCCTTATACAAACATCAATATCAACAATACTTTTATCCCAAACTAATTTAGGTCGGTGGTAGATGAACTCAAATAAAAGATACAAAAGAGTTGAAAAAAGATAAAAGATAAAATAAAAATAAAAATAAATGAATAAAATAGTAATAATATATATATATATATAAGTAATAAAAGAAAGGGAAAAGAAGTAGAGGGAGGAGATGAAGAGGAAAAGGACTAAAAATGGATTATCTGGAAAAAAAAAGATATAGTGCGCAGTCAGAAACTAAAATTAGTATATGTCAATTACGAATGACCCATATAATACATTAAGAAACTGTTTCTTCACAACCTATTACCATTGACTCAGGGGAAAAGAAGTAGAGGGAGGAGATGAAGAGGAAAAGGACTAAAACGAGACCATCTGGAAAAAAAAAAGATATAGTGCGCAGTCAGAAACTAAAATTAGTATATGTCAATTACGAATGACCCATATAATACATTAAGAAACTGTTTCTTCACAACCTATTACCGTCGGACTCAGATATCATGTAAAAGTTGGATATCTACTCATCCAATCAATAACAATAAAAATGAGCTGGTTTTATCAAAAATTAAAATATAAATGTAATGCTAGTTTGTCCTTTATGATGTTCTTGGAATCTATGTTTCAGGAATATTGCTAGCCTGCATCATTAATGTTACGCTATCAATACTTGAGCATGGCATACATGATAAAATAAACTGAATTCATCACATTCTATTTCAGCCGATATTCACTGTATGATTTCTTTGGCCTTTTGGCTTTACTAAAATTTTCTTGTTTACTTAATGCATTTTATTTCGGGACCCCTCTCCTCTCTTTATGTGCCCTTTTCTGCATGGTGCCTGATTCTGAATCTTCGGATTATTATTTAGAGATATATAAAATCGTTAATGTAACCTCACTCATTAGCTTAAGCTTTTGGGTTGAATTGGTTCTTTACATGGTATCAGAGCTTCAATGATCACAAGGTCATGAGTTCGATCTCACCGCCCTCCATTTAGTTAATAATTAATTAAGTCTTGTAGAATTTCTTAGCACAGGTAGGTGGGTCTGTGCATTATTCATCCTTCAAGCCCAATGGACTCTTGTATGAGAGGACGTGTTAGAGAAGTATAAAAAATCATTGATGTAGCCTCACCTAACAACTTAAACTTTTGGATTGAATTGGTTATTTACAGAATAAATTTGCTTCCTACCTTTATTGACAAATTTATTATTCTCAAAGGTTTATCCATTCCTTCATTTGTAATTGATAGGGTTTGGAAGAAGGATGGTATGATGGGGGTAGCATTGCTTTTGCAGTTTTTCTTGTCATTGTAGTTACAGGTATTGTATATAATCATTTTTTCTTTCTGTTTTTGATAAATAAACAATGGATTTTGTCCTATCAAAATTTGTACGTGTCTAAAGGAGGGCTATATTGAGATTGGACAAAATTTTATTTTGCCTTGAACTATTTGCGTTCTTTTTGGAATTTTGTTTATTAATGACTCTACTACAAGCTGTATCAAAATATTTCTAGGACTGACTTTAGGCTGTTACTTTTTACCTTTTGTCTGTCAGCTGTCAGTGATTATCGGCAATCGCTGCAGTTTCAGAATTTGAATGCAGAAAAACAAAATATACAATTGGAGGTGTGTAACATATACTATTAGCACATTACTGTCTACAGAAAAAAATAAACGAACATTACTTATCACTGGGGACCTAAACTATGATTATACACTTTTAAACTTGTTACAGGTCATTAGAGGTGGGAGAACGATTAAAATATCGATATTTGATATTGTTGTTGGTGATATTGTACCCCTTAAAATAGGAGATCAGGTGAGTTTGCATGGTATTTTGAGTTTGTCTGGAAATTGAGCAGTTTTCCATCTTCATTAATCACTCTATGGATATACTCAGGTTCCTGCAGATGGAGTATTAATCACCGGTCATTCACTTGCAATTGATGAATCCAGTATGACTGGTGAAAGCAAGATTGTATGTTTCTTGTAGTATCTACTGACCAAAATATTGGTTTTTAATTCTTATGACTTTTAAGCAAATAGTGTTATGCAGGTTCATAAGGATCACAAAGCACCCTTTTTGATGTCTGGTTGCAAAGTAGCAGATGGAGTTGGTGTTATGCTGGTATAATATGATATTATATCCTTAAATGAGCAATGGCTACTGTTGTTAGAAAAAATGAAAAATGCTGAATAGTAGGAATGTCTTTTCTTGAAAATGACTCTGGAATAGAAAAAACAGAAAAAGTTTGTTGCATTTTGTTACTTATTCCTATACTTTTCAGCTTACTTTTTTCCCCCTCTTTAACCATGGTCATTGGGCATTCGTAACAGTTTTTTTACAAAAGTTTTCTTAACTGATAACATTGCTGATAAAAAAATAATTAATTTTAGGATTTTGAATTATTTTAGTGCAAAAAGTTTTTTACTTATGAAGTTTGTTGTTGCATTCTGCTGTTAGGCAGTATGCATGCTAATATTTTCTGTACTTGTCTTTCACTTTGATTTTCCTTAATGTAAGGCCAAACTGCTGAGAGCTGGCTGATTGTGTTACATTCTTGATTATTTCAGTCAACTAAAATATTTTGAATTGTATCACCTAAGTGTTAATTTCTTTTTTTCTGGGTGAAAATATAATATTAATTTTTCATTTGTTTTAGTTGTCTCCTGGAAATTTCTAATTTTTAATTATTAGTTGTACGAGTAATTTGCATGTGTCTTTGTAATGCAGCGATTTTGATTCTTTCAATAATTATTTTTATTATCATTCTGTTGTTCACATTCGTTAATCGGTGCTCTATTCTATGCAGAAGTGTATAGATTACCTCTATTTTTATTATGATTCTAGTGGTCTTTAGGCACATGAAACAAAATTTCAGGATGCCACCACAATGAGTAACATTTTATACTGCCATCTGTAGGTAACTAGTGTTGGTATCAATACTGAGTGGGGATTGTTGATGGCAAGTATCTCAGAGGATACTGGGGAAGAGACTCCGTTACAGGTTCCTCCTCCTCTATCCAAAACAAAAAAGAAAAAGAAAAAGAAAGGATGTTGCTTTAGCAGTACCTTACCAAAACTCTGCGTGTTAAAACTTAACTTACTTTTGGTGACATGTAATAGGTCCGTTTGAATGGAGTAGCAACTTTAATTGGTATAGTTGGGCTTACTGTAGCTGTTTCAGTGCTTGCGATCCTCTTGGGCAGGTAATGTTAAATGTTCTTTTTCGGACGTTATAACTTATAAGTCAAGCAGGCTACGTGCCATCTTTGACATGCTATGTTATGACTTTGGAATTATAGATACTTTTCCGGCAACACGAAAGATTTAGAGGGACACGTCCAATTTGTTGCCGGAAAAACTAGTGTTAGTGATGCAGTGGATGGAGTCATCAAAATTTTTACCATTGCAGTAAGTGCGTGTTTTGAACTGTTTTATAGATTACTTTTTTCTTCTCTGTTTTTTCTTTCTTCCCTTTTTGAGGTATATTCTTCTATGTTTTTAATAGTTTTTTAACTAAATATAGAGCCATGCAGGTCACAATTGTGGTTGTTGCAGTGCCTGAAGGTTTACCTTTGGCTGTTACCTTAACGTAAGTACAACTTGCTAGGTTATCTCATTGTATAACATAGATGTGGCGAAAACTAGGCCCCTAATATAGTTTTCTTCTAATATGGTGTAATTTTCTTCCTCTATTGCCTTCACGATAGCCTGGCTTACTCAATGCGGAAAATGATGGCAGACAAAGCCTTGGTAAATATCATTTATTTTTCTAACAATCACCTTCATGTCTTAGTTTTGCAAATCTTCTATGCCATATTTAGTTTTAAAGCATCTTCTCTAACAACCAAAGATGTGCAGGTACGAAGGCTGTCAGCCTGCGAAACTATGGGCTCTGCTACAACAATTTGCAGTGATAAGACGGGAACATTGACCTTAAATCAGGCAAGTTTCATGGTCGAAGACTTGGATAGTCTAAAAGGAGTATGGGTATATTTTACATTATTACTGAAATGAATGAAAGCTTCAAGAGTTATCTAATTTATTGAATTCACATTCTCTTTAAGTTTAGGTGGTCTTAGGTTCATAACACATTGGTCATTGCCCCTTTCCTGAAGTTTTAATTGTGTCGCACTGTTTGTTATTGTTGAGTAAATATGTTGATGTTTTCCTGACTTTTAAACAGTATAACTTCATGAAGATAAACTCTATGATTTTTTTTTTTGGTTGATGATGTAAAATGGTTTCATTTCCTTTTTCATGCACAAAGGCTAGGCTGCTGTATGGATGGAAGAAGGATACAATATTTGTTAAGGCTAATATAGAGAAAATGATTGAAGGAACTCATAGAACAGATTAGTAGTTCAATATATGGCTTCGGTTATTTGATAGACCTATTGTGCGGGTGTGGATATTTTTGTGATAGACATAATCTATCTAATAGGTTTACATGTGAAAAAGCTATTCCTCCAATCTGCTAAACTCCCAGATCCTGTATTTTTTTTTTCATTTTATTTAAAATCCTTGAATTATCAAGATTTGATAGTAACTTACTTTATGGCATTATAGATGACTGTAGTCGAGGCATACGTTGGGAGGAAGAAACACAATCCACCGGATGACTCATCAAAGTTGCATCCAGAAGTATTATCTCTGATAAATGAGGGCATTGCACACAATACAACTGGAAAAGTTTTCGTGCCTAAGGTTTGCCTTTATACATAATTTTAACAACTGTTACTAGGTTTCCCTTTTACGTTGTGGCGTTTGGTGCTAAATTAACTCATGGATTTTTTCATGGTTTTGATTGGAATTTTTCATTTTGGTAAGTTGATTGGAGTTTTTGTTTGAGAGGAACCGTATCTTGTGATTCTTCAAATAAACAACTGCCTACAGCACAGACAGGCTCACAATTATTGACATATGTAATGTGTGTTTATTTATCTTCCGGAAGATCTGAAACAAATCTAGTAGTACTTTAAGACTTTAATGCAATTTGCATGTGTTGAGATATAAAATTATTCCCGAGCCCCCACCTAACAACCTAAGTTTTTAGGAGAGTTTGCCCCATGATATGGTATTAGAGCCTCTAACACCAAGTGTTCAAGAGTTCAATCCTTGTCACCTTCATAATTAAGCTGAATTTCAACACAAAGTAAAATGGTCCTCTGCATTGTCCATGGTTCAAATTTGCTTTTGTATGAAGGGTGTATTAGGTTTAAAACCGATCTTGAACCTTCACATAACAACTTAAGTTTTTAGGAGAGTTGGTGCTTCAATATGATATTATAAACGAAAGAGAAAGTGACAAGAAAGAGAGAGACAACCAGAGAATCTGAGAGAGAATTGAATTTGATATTTCTGTAAAATGTAAAACTGGTTAAGAGAATACACAAGGGTCTATTTATAGACCTACTAACAGTAAGCTAACATAATGAGCAAATAGTCTAACTAAAGGAATCAGTTACAACAGATTCCGTAAGATGCAGAACTGAACTAACTAACTGATCTAACAGATCAGTTACTCTAATGTTCCCCCCTTAAGCTCAAGGAGGTTTGGTTAACATTGTGTGATCAAAAACCTCGAGTTTGTCTCTGAGCTCTGCAAACCTTGAGGCAGATAGTGACTTAGTAAATGTGTCAGCAACTTGTAGAGGAGATGAAATATGTTGCACAATTAGAGACTTAGCCAGAACTTTTTCCATGACAAAAAAGACATCAAGCTCCATGTGTTTTGCTCTAGAGTGAAGAACCATATTATGAGCAAGGGCAACTGTGCTCTGGTTATCACAATAGACGACTGGAAGCTTGATGGGAACTTGTAACTCTTGTAAAAGAGATTGCACCCACAAAATTTCAACTGCAGAATGAGCCAAGATCCTATACTCAGCTTTATCACTATACAACATGCTGAGCAGAAATCAGAGACAGTTTATTTCCAAATGGTATATTACAATGAGACAATATCTTTTTCAAAGCTTCAAAATAGGGATGTCCCAATTTGGAATGCCGAAGATTGTAGCTCCTTGATACATCAACTACAGACTTCACTACACGGCAAAGAGTTACAGACAGATTTATTTTATTTACAAACTGACACTATACAGGCAGATTTATTTGAACATGGAACATGTCTCGATAGGGCTGGAGTAGAAGCTTGGAGCCCCTTGAATTTATATAGACCATCATATCCTAGAAAGCCTTCAAGTAAGACCTCCTGAGACTCTTGTGATTTGACAAAGCAGTGTGTAACGCCCGGCCACTTGCAACAATCAATGACTGTCCCCACACAAACACGAGACTTTTCAGTGTGCTTTGTCCTCACTCGCACACTTCCCGGGAAAACTTCCCATCCGGGCTACCGAAAAGTAGATGCATCTTGTTAGTATAGGTAGTACCAATTAATTCTTATAAGTCATTCCTAACTGTACCGTCTCATACCAGCACCGTCTCTGGAATCCCTCTCTTTCGGGTGTTGATTCGATTCATTCATGAACCCCCAAGCTGCAAGATTTGGCATGAGCCGCTCATTGTCCGTGCCATTTCGCACCGGCGATCACTCCCTGCCTTTGCCAGCTCTTGGGATGTTACATGCCCACCAGCTTCCTCCTGGTTCGTCCTCGAACCACACCGTACTGGAAGAGAGGCCCTGCTCTGATACCACTTGTAACGCCCGGCCGCTTCAAGAATCAACGACTATCCCCACATACTAACACGAGACTTTTCAGTGTGTTTTTTCCTCATTAACACTGCCGAGTTTAAAATAACCAATTGCGTGACCATAACCTTATTACCTTGCGGAATAATCAGAACTAGACTTAACATCATAGTATTATTTACTCGAGTTCAATACTAAACTCTCTTCGCTTTTTATTAAATTGTAAAACTTGTACTTCCTTATAATTCTCATCTCACACTATACGTATCCATTCTTTGTTTACTTAAGAAATTCCTATACTGCCTTTATGGTCTCCCTTTGTCCAATATATTAAAGGATTTTTCATTAGCTACGCGTGGGTTCAAACCGCGCTCAAATCGGAGCACCGTAGCTCAAGTTATGCATTTTCTAAGAAAAGGGTGCAGAAATTTGCAGGACTCCCACGCTCATAGCGTGGGATCCCACGCTCGTAGCGTGAAATTGTCCCAGGAGGCAGAAAGTTGGCGCCCCAAGCGCCACAGTGGCGCCCTTAGCGCCAATGCTAATGCCTCGTTTTGGCAGTTGGCGCCCTTAGCGCAAGTTTGGCGCCCCTGGCGCCACACAACAGGGCTGGATGACCAAAATAAGGTATTTTGACCTACCTAAGGTGTTTCATCCATAACTTTAGTTATATTTATCCAAATTACACAATCTTGGTCTCTATGGAAAGCTAAGAAGATTGTCTACAACTTCCATAAAGACACAAGGGTCCAAATCTATCATATGGAATACGAAAAATGGACAACAAGACAGGATGTCTTTATTTCTACATGGGTTTTCAAACCCATGGTCCTCTTTCACCTAATTGACATCATATAGTCCTTCCAATACATGAATTCTAATCTTTCAAGGTACACATACATTAAGAGGAGCATGCATATCATTTCATCATACATATATCTCCATTAATTACAACACTACATCAGGTCTTAATTACAATTCTCATATACATGCCAAAGGACTTAGCTACAAAAGGAACATGATCAAAGCTATAAGCCATTTACAACAAGGCATTCATCACTACAATGATCATGCACTAACTCCCTCAAAATACATAATGTGACATCAAAATATACATATAGCAAATATAAATGGCATGCAACTCAAAATATCCAGCTATCTGGTACAATCTACTCATGCTTCTTGCCTCGATCAACCTCACCTCTATCAGCACCTGAAATGATGCCCCACAACACGGGGTGAGATATACAAATATATCACAGTAAACCAGAGGTCCTTGGAGATCACTCCACCCTAAGGTTCACTTTCGATGCACACATAATCATAATAGCTTAACACATTCTTATCCACAACCATCACATGGACTTCCAAGAGAGATCCACTAAGGGCTGTTTCTCTTAGGCTTTTACCACCTGGAGATCCACATAGGGCTGTTTCCAAGGGAAGTCCCTAACCTCAATCTAGGAACCTCCAAGAGAGATCCACATAGGGCTAATTCCAAGAGAAGTTCCTATCAATCATCCTCATCATAATACTATCACTCATAACCTCAATTACAATCCTCAACCATTACCTCATTCATTATTTCTATCTCTACAACCATTCCTCAATCATTCTTAAACAATCAAACATCAATTAATCAATTATAACATTTATCAATGCATGAATCAATGCATGGGCATACAATTACGATCATAATTACATATCACATCTCATAAACCATTTCTCCTCAACGGAGTATGGTGGAACACTCAATGAGATCAACCCCAAGGTCCAAAGGTTTACCTTGGTCTTGAACTTTCCTCAATTGCTCACAACCACCAGGGTTGGTCACTCCACTTGGTTCTCTTGCCTCAATCCTATCAACACAAGGAATACAATCAAATAATGCTAACAATGCAAGGAAATCCATAGTTCCAAGCCTAGATTTCTCCAAATATCAAAGCATACTAAAATAACACTCTAAACTCATTTCTACCGTTTATTTATCGTTCCTAGCAACATTTACAAAGGCACCAAGCCTCCATCAAACTCAAACTCATAAAACCCCAAAAAACACTATTCATCATCTTCAACCTCTAGAAAACTCCATGAACACAAGGTTGGAGAAGTGGGAACTTACCATAATAGGTCACATAACCAAGCAATAGAGGCCTCCTAAGCTCCCATGGGTGGAGATGCCACAAAACTCCTCAAATCATCAAATGGTCGAATTTTGGGAAGGAGAAATCTCACTCCACAAGGACCCCCACTCAAAACCAAGCTTGGATTATGAAAGAGGGGAAGATTTGGGGTGGTTTAGGCTTTTGGATCAAAGAAAGTGGTTGAGAATAGAGGGATCTAGGGTTTCCTCCCTTTCCTTTCCTTTTCTCTTCTCCTCCTCTCCTTCTCTTCTCTCTTCTTTTCTTTCTTTCTTCTTTTTGGTCGACGGGTTTGGGGAGGGGAAAATGGGTTCTTTATTTGCTTTGCCACTTAACATAGGTTAAGTGGGATCAAGTGGCTATTGGTTCATCTATCTATTCAACTCCATTAATTACCAAACTTTACTCAAATGTCTGGAATATTATTCTAGGAATATTTTCACTTTTATTTTTATATTTTGGGTACTTTTGCCTACACCCATTTATACCCCTCAATTTTCACTGAGTACACTTTTTACCTCAAAAGTGACATTTTTACCTCAAAAGTGACCCCAATTCACTTAGTTAGGCCCTATACTTAATTTTACTCACTAATACATGCTTAATTACTTAATTTGAAGTAATTAATTAAATTATTTAAGTTAGGAGTATTATATTCTCCCCACCTTTTAAGCGATTTTGTCCTCAAAATCGACAGAACTACTCGTCCAATCACCCATGGACTAATCGGAGAACTCTTCTTGTGTTCCCGAAGCTACCCTATTAATTAGTTCCTCTTTTCCTCATCATCTTATCATAAGATGAAATGTTTTATTCATGATTCAATCTATGTTCTTATAATTACTTCCATTCTCCCATTCTATGACTTCTATCTTTCACTTTCCTCAACGGTCATACCTATTCATTTGATATTTAACCCTGACTTTTCAGTGTGCTTTTTCCTCATTAACACTGCCGAGTTTAAAATAACCAATTGCGTGACCATAACCTTATTACCTTGCGGAATAATCAGAACTAGACTTAACATCATATTATACAGTGAATAGGATGGAATTAAAAATAAACTTTGTTGTCTTTAGCAAATTGGCTGACACTTATGAGATTTTTGATGATATTCGGAACAAGAAGTAGATTATGTAGACAGGGGGGAGTGTGTGGTTTAAAGGAAGATAAGAAACTACTTGAACCAACAGAGGTGATTGACAAACCTTGTCCATTTCCAACGTAGATATGCTCTGGTCCATCATATTGAGTGCTTTGCATCAAGTTACCTGGTGCAAAGCTCTTGAGTTAGGGTACTAGTCAAGTGCTAATTGACCATTGGTAGAGGCAGCAAGTGCACGTGGAGTTCCAGCTTGAGGAGAAGAAGCTTGAGACTGCAGCGAACCAGCTGTAGCAGCTAAGGTATTCCAGTTTGGACAAGCTGGAATTTGAGAGAGAGACAATCAAGTTTGTTGTCGCCGGAACGTTCGTAGTCACTGGAAAATTAGGTTGAGATGTTTGTGGAGGTGTGAAGCCTGTATTGAACCTCTACCAGCAGTTAGCAGCTTCATGACCATTCTTCCTGCAGATTTGACAGTTAACAAGGAACCTGCCACCACGATTCCGGCCGTGACCACCACTCCAACCATCTTGCGCTGGTTGTACATAACCTGCTGAGTTGTTTCCTTGTTGATAATGTCCTCATTGAATAGTTTCTAGTTGTTTGGTATTCCCCTGTTCTTGAACACCTAAAATAGGGGTAAACAGAGGAGGATTATGAGCGACGTTAACGGAGCTAAGAGTCAAGGAACTTGATTGAAACTTTGCGAGCATAGCCTCTTCAGCTAAGAGTTGTGACTCCAGATCTTCAAAGTTGCTTGAATCTCTTGCTCTGAAATAGGTGATGAATGGACCATAATCTTCAGGTAGTCCTTCAAGCACAATTTGTACAAGTTTGCGATCAGAGAAAGGATCACCTATCGCCATCAACGTATCACCAAGAACTTTCACTCGTGCTAAGTACTCTTCGATGTTCTTGTCCCCTTTCTTGATATTTCGTAATTCAGATTTGACCTTATTAGCCTTCGCTTTGGTCACTGAATCAAAGTATTTATGAATCTTGTCCCACGCTTGATGGGACTGACGTATGCCAAGAATTTTTTTGATGATTTACTTTCATTAAGTTGACTGAAGCCATGTGAGAAGCATCTTATTTGTTTTCTCCCATTCTATGAACGCTGGATTCATAATTTTAGTAGCTCTATCTTCTTCAGATTGAAAACGTAAAGGAATCTTTGGATTAATCAAATAGCATTCTAAATGATGAGCTATGATCGGTGGTTCTACGATCTGCTTCCATGAGAGGAAGTTTTTGACTGACAACTGATTGTTGAAGAGTATAGGCGATTTGGAATCACCTGAACCATTTTCAGTGGTAGATGAAGCTGAATCTTGAGTGTTTTGTGTTGCGGAAGCCATGGAGAAGAAGAAAAATGGATCAGGGCTCCAGGGCTCCAATAATGGAGCTCTGATACCATAAACGAAAGAGAAAGTGACAAGAAAGAGAGAGAGAACCAGAGAGTCTGAGAGAGAATTGAATTTGATATTCCTGTAAAATGTAAAACTGATTAAGAGAATACACAAGGTTCTATTTATAGACCTGCTAACAGTAAGCTAACACAATGAACAAATAGTCTAACTAAAGGAATCAGTTACAACAGATTCCATAAGATGCAAAACTGAACTAACTCATCTAACAGATCAGTTACTCTTATATATTACCATAAGATTGCATTGTCCATGGTTCAAGTCCAAATAACTTTTGTATGAGGGGTGTGTTAGGTTTAAAAGCAATCTTGAATCTTCACATAACTATTTAAGCTTTTGGGATAGTTGGTGCTTCAATATGATATAAGCATTAGATAGAAGGGGCATTTACATTATCCACGCTTCAAGCTCAGAGGACTCTTGCTAACTTAACTCCATAAGCTTTTTCAAAAGTTTATCCTTGACGGCTATGTAGTACCGATACCGACACGGGACACGTGATACGACACGACACTCCGACATGTTAATTCTAAAAACTATCAGATTTCGACATATTAGGACACGTTTTGATATTAAATAATATTTTTAATTTATGTAGTGTATATTATATTTAATATTCAATAATTTAACAAAAAAATGAAACTAAACTTCTAATATTCATCAATTTTGCAAAGAAACATAAGATATCCCGAATATTTATATTAAACTGAATAAAATAGTAATCGTAATCCAACGAATTTAATAATTGGAACTAAAAACTCAACGCAACGCAATGCAACCTTTGAACTTTTTTTTGAATTTCTATAACGCGTATTGGAGTGTCGGGGAGTGTTGGAGAGTGTCAGGAAGTATTGGACACGACACGTCAGGGTTTTTAAAGTGTCGGTACTTCATAGCTTGACGATATGCATTCAAAATAATCAAAGGATTTTTGTCGGGGTTCTTTCTGCATGTTGTTTACTAATGTAAATACTTGCTAATTCTAAAGTCCTAGAATAATTTAAAACGAAATGTTGTAGCTTGGATTAACACAAAAGAAATCCATTTCTGCTGTCAACTGCTTATGAAAAATTTATGTATAGAATTTATAAATAAAAATGCACAAGCGCCAGGCCATCAAATGTTTGGTTGTAACATTTCTCTGCTGATAAATAAAATAGTTTGTATAAGTGAGTTCAATTTGACAAGTGTGATCAAGATGTCTACACCTGAAGCTTAAATTCTTTACATTTACATGCAGGATTTTAATGCCTAGAATTGGATAAACTGTTAAAAATGAATGTTCAGTTGCAACCTGCAATTATATCTCCAGTGGCTGTAGTGTTTTTTTGTGTCTTTGGATTATTGCCTGATGCTGATAAAGCTAAGTTACTAATAGATATTTAAGTTTATTTAATGAAACTTTTTGTATTTCTCTTAGAAAAAAGTTATTCTAAATTATTTTCAGAATGGGAATTATGAATACGATTGATGATGGTGTTTGGAGGCTCTTTTTCTTATATTTGGTTTCTGATAATGGTCATCTAGTGAGCTTATGGCTAGTTTCTTTCATATTGGCTGGTATGAACCAATAAAATACCTGATATAAGCTATAGATAATAAACAACAAACCGAATTTATTGATTTTTCATTTACTGGTATGAGATTGCGCTGGTCTTCTTGTGAATATTAGCAATATAAAAGCTGATAATAATTGATTTATTATCATCTTCTCCTCCTCTTTAATTGTCACTACTGTGGTTTTGGTTTTATGAATATTTTGAATTAGAATTAATATCTATTAAGCATTACATTTACATCTGTCAATGTATTTGGTTTGGTAGGATGGCGGAGAGGCAGAGGTGTCAGGATCTCCTACAGAGAAGGCAATTCTTTCATGGGCAGTCAAGGTACACTTGCTGATTTTTTTCCCTGTAATTTTTTTTTTCTGTTCATCCCCCCTCCCTTTATTAATCTGTTGGTTTTGAAGCTGAACTCATTCATTTGGTACATATGGCAGTTGGGCATGAATTTTGATCTTATCAAATCAAATTCGACAGTTCTCCATGTCTTCCCCTTCAATTCTGAGAAAAAGCGAGGTGGTGTTGCTCTGAAGCTGGTAATCAGTTATAAAGATTTTTACTGATGCATCCTTTCATTTATTGTACTTTATAAACTAGTATCAAACATAAAAATCCATCCCTCATGCTTTCAAGTATTAACTTTCACTTGTGAACTAAATAAGTTGGAAAAGTGAATGTTGTTTATTTTTCAATTATGGAGTCATATTACGTGCATAGGTTACTTATGCCTTTTATTGATTCATTATATTAATTTTCTATGCTAATCAGATATATTGATTGCAATTTTCCTTGCAGGTGGACTCTGGTGTACATATACATTGGAAAGGAGCTGCAGAGATAGTTCTAGGAACATGTACTCAATATCTTGATTCAAACGGTCACTTGCAATCCATTGAAGAAGAGAAGGTTAGGAACAGCAGTTTCAAGTCCTAGAAAGTTTTCTGATGGAATGAAATTCATTAAATTGAACATTGGCGATGAGAAAAACTTTTTCTTTTGATTGATAACTATCAGAAATTAAGAAAAACACATGGAATAAGGTTACCACCCAATCACTTTACTCTTATAAACGTGATTATAGTGTTGTTTGATGTTACTCCAATGCCAAATTATGCAATTATATATTGGGTAATATGAATGAGTTTTCCAAAAATATAGCAAGTGAGAGCAATTGACTATTTTTTCAACAATATCTTGATTAATTGGATAATCTTATTAAAACTCTTTTGCAGGTGTTTTTCAAGGAGGCTATTGATGACATGGCTGCTCGCAGCTTGCGTTGTGTTGCCATTGCATACAGATCATATGAAATAGACAAAGTTCCATCTAATGAGGAGGATTTAGACCAATGGTCTTTACCTGAAAATGAGCTTGTTTTACTTGCTATTGTTGGAATAAAGGTAAAATGCACGAGTAGATTTTCCTGTTGTATTGTGTTAAACTTAGTGATGTGGGCTGATTAACCATTTTGTCCGTGTTTAATTTTTTTTTTTTTTACCACTTTTTCCCTTTTCCAAACAATATACCAATCTTCCCTTGTTCTCAAGTTATATACCTATCTGCTCCCATTTGACTAAAGTTTGATAGACATTTACTTGAGTAAATGAGCCATTTACTTGAGTAAATGATTTAGCAAGAACTAGGGTTTGGTCAAACTTTGGTCAAACAGTAACAATATTGGTATCTAGTATGAGAAGAGTGGAATATTGATATATAGTTTGGGAAGATGGACATAGTGATAAAAAAATTAAAAATAGGGATAAAATGGTCAGTCAGCATATTGATGTGTGTCTCCTAACTTGCCATTTTATGTACAACCAAAGAGTTTTGTTTGGTTTGTATATTCATATATATATAATGAGTATTGCAAATCATAAGCTTCAAAATATTCTTCGTTGCTTATGATTTCAAATTAACCCTGAATTCCTTTATCAAAGCTAAAACTAATCTTTATATTCAGGATCCTTGTCGCCCTGGCGTCAAAGAAGCTGTGAAATTATGCACTGACGCTGGTGTTAAGGTAATATATGTCGTTTATGTTTGATGAGTATAGTTTTCATAGTGATTGATCAACTAGATATCTTCATATTTAGGTATTAGTTTCATGTTAAACCAGTTAATGACAGTGTTTTTGAACGTCATTTCTGACTTTATAATAGCATGAGTTTACTCCAAAATGTTATCAAGGGAACCCAACACATTGTACGTTTATGAACTCACAGGTACGAATGGTTACCGGAGACAACCTTCAAACAGCAAAGGCAATTGCTTTGGAGTGTGGGATACTGGCTTCTGAAGAAGATGCTGTTGAGCCAAATATAATTGAAGGAAAGACATTCCGTGAACTATCTGAAAAAGAAAGGGAACAGATTGCTAAGAAAATAACGGTATGCTTCTTCCGTTATGATTTATTTTGTTATATGCATTAGCTTCAGATTTTCGATAAAGGCATGTTATTCATCCTTTCATAATCTTACAAAAAGAATGATGTCGATGCTAATAACCCCAGCCATATTACATCCGAGTTAGATATATTTTGTTTTAATAATTTTGCATAATATTCATATAGGTAATGGGTAGGTCTTCTCCTAATGACAAGCTTTTACTTGTGCAAGCACTACGTAAAGGGGGTGAAGTCGTTGCTGTCACAGGAGATGGCACCAATGATGCTCCTGCACTTCACGAGGTCTGTCATGTTCCTTGGATGCAATCTTGATTCTTGAGAAATAAATTAAGTATGAAGTATTTTTTTTTTCTTTCTGAAATCCTTCTTAAGAATGAACGTGCAAGGTAGGCATATATACTTCGCTGATGCACACATTTGATGAGTATGCTATGGAGCTTCCATAGTTGATTGGCATGACTTCACCATAAACTTTTCTCATTAAAATTGTTCTATGTGCATACAAGTAGTTCTGTGTAATTTGTCCCTTAAATCTTGAGGCAGTTGATCCAATGTGTTCATATAAACATGACTTTAGTTGCATTTGCAATTGTTGAATGCAAAAAGCCTGCATGTATGAATGTCAAGTTTGCTGTTATCAGAGTTGACAACATTCTGGATGCGAATGATCAAATTTTGGGAATAAAAATGCACTAAGTAGCGAATTGAGATATTTTTTTCTGTAAACTAAGTACTAACACTCTTTTTCTTCTATAATCATTAGCATGCCAATAGCCGCTGGCTTTTATAGTGCCTCATTTTAAAAATAAATCAGCTTAATAATGTGTTTGATCTACAAATTGCAAAAAGACAGGGAGGAGAGAGAAGACAACGGAAGAAGAGAGGAGAGAAAATGTAAATAAGCCAGTGTCGTTGTGTTATTTTTTCTTTTTTGGATAAGTTATTTGTCAGCAAAGTGTTTTTCTTCTGCACTACCGTTAGTAGTAAATTCAATGCATTTCTTATTATTTTTTGGCCCTTAAAGTTTATGCATTAGCATACAGATTTTTGCAATTAACAGAGGTGTCCTGGGTAGTTGGCACTGTCAAAGTTTTCTTCCTGCCACGTGCGCCTCCATCTGTTTATAGTGTTGTCATGTGTTCTCCATTATTAAAATAATTTCCTGTTAAGCCCCACCCCCGCCAAAAAAAAAATATTCTTGTCATAGTTGATCTCGTGCTTTACTATATTGTTTTTTAGGCAGATATTGGTCTTTCTATGGGCATCCAAGGAACTGAAGTTGCAAAAGAAAGCTCGGATATTATAATCCTGGATGATAACTTCGCATCAGTAGTAAAGGTAAGCTTTTATTTATTGGCTTGAGTATGACATTGCTGTCTTTTTTCCCGTGTATTTGCTAGGTAAATGATTTAATATACTCTAGCAAAAAGTCATTACTTTTCATTTGCCATTTGCAAGAGATACTTCAAAAACCTAAAACCTTTAGGCGGAGTCTATATGTCTTTTCATCTATATGATCTTCACTTGATCTATTTCTAACGTGGGACTATCCACTCACACTTGAATTTCATTTCCTAATTACTACATTCTCCCCTTAAGTGTGAGTCCATTATCTTCAAATATTGAAGTTACACTAACCTCTGTGGAGGCCTCTTCAATTACACCACCATTTCAAATACTCACCTCAGCCAAAACACTGGCTCTGATACCAGAGTTGGAAGGGTATAAGAGCCCAAAATCCTTTGGAAGGGATACTTACACTAATGGGCTAATAGACAGACCGTGGTGAGTGAGCTTATTTTAACCCAAAACGTTAAGACAATGAGTGACAATGGATTTTTTCCATTTATATGGTCCTCGGTTGGTCCATTCCTAACCAAGGTTGTAATTCCGATTTACACTTGAATTTCATTTCAAACAGAAACATGGTGTACTGGGGTACTGGGTATGATTAGGTTTTGGCTTCATTTTGGCTTAAGGATATATTTTTTTTACTGAGACACAAGTGTCCTGTGGATTGGTCAATTTGTAATCTGTCTAAGATTTCTGTTTCATTCTTTGTGTAGGTTGTCCGCTGGGGCCGTTCTGTATATGCAAATATTCAGAAATTTATCCAGTTCCAGCTTACTGTTAACGTTGCTGCTCTTGTAATAAATGTTGTGGCAGCAATAACTTCTGGTGATGTTCCTTTAAATGCAGTACAGGTGACCCTCTCGCTTTCTCCTCCCATGTTATTATTGAGTCACATCTAGGTCTATACTCTAAAACCTGGTAAAGCAGAACAGAGTGAAATATAGGCAATCCGAATTGAACCATGACCAACACTTAGGCCCCGAATTTATGGGCATCTTTTCCATTTCCTATTAATCTTATGCATGTTTTCGTTATTTTCTTTTAATTTATTAATGTGGCATTAGTCAGAATAGAAAAGTGTACAAATATCAATTGCTAACTCCAAAATTGCTTGCACTTACTGATGAGACAACTTCCCGATTCTTGTGCTTTGATGTACATAAAAGGTAACACATGTAAGTTGTAGTGTACTTGAGTGGGATGAGTGTGCTGCAAAGACTTTGTTATAGATACCAAATGATGGTAGTTCAGTTGGCGCATGAGAGCTGAACAAGTGGAAGTGAGAGCATATGTTTGATCCTTCCTAGTACCGTCTTTGGGAGAGGTTTAAATCTTTAATCCTGGACCGCCCCGAACAGGATTGCCTCCCATGGAGGATACCTGTAGTTAATCCAAAAAAAAAAAAAAAGACTTTATTATAGATAGGCTGCCATGATGTGTAGGAGAAATTCCTTTCATGTCTTTTCTGTTTAGGTCAATACTCACCACCCCAAAAAACGGAACTCTTACTACGTTAGGATTATATTTCAGTTTGTTCTTTGTTGACTATTCATATCATGGGTTTTGTAGAAATGTTAATTGGATTTCTGGCTTAGAATTTCATGTGATAGTGTTTGTTATCAAGAACTAAGATTAAAATCATCTTCAATTAAAAACCGATATATTGGTTTTTGATGTACATGCTCTTCGGTACAGCTCTTGTGGGTCAACCTTATCATGGACACACTTGGCGCCCTTGCACTGGCTACTGAACCACCAACAGACAGCTTAATGAACAGATCACCAGTTGGCCGAAGGTTTGGATTGATTGGCTTTCTCACCTAGCAGTTTAATATTTATTAATATTTATAGTATTCTTAAAGCTCTACTTCGCTGGCAATAAACGGATACACAACTTGTGTCTTATATTTGATTTAGTTACATCTTGCTGCTTCCACTGTTAAACGACAAAGATCTTTTGACTTTCTTACATTATAATTTTCGTTGGAAATATTTAAGTGTAAGTAGTGGTGAAGTTTTGGTTAGAAATGAACCAAATGAGAACTATATAAGTGCAAAAGGCTCATATTTCTTAAAGTTTTGAGTTGAAATATGGTGTCAAACCTACTTATCGTGGTTTGTCATTTTGGTTCATTGATGGAATAATCCCTTGTAAGGGTTTTGGACCCCTCTATACCATTTGATCAATTTCAACCAAAGAGCCATAACATGGTGTTGGTTTTGAATGTCACTTTTTCTACTATTGTATTTTATGATGATATTTTCATTTTCAACTTAATTTAAATTATAAAAAATTCTATATGCGCCATAAGGATATATGGAAGAAAAGAAATAAAAAAGAAAATAAACGCACGAGAATAAGATAGATTAGCTCAAAAGAGACGTGCAATCCCTTTGTATGTCAGATAAGAAAATTGTCTAAACCCACAAGGAAGGAAATAATCCTATCCCATTAAACTTGTGGCATTGAAGAGTTTTGAGAGAGAACTCTTGCATTCTATTCCAGCCAAGTAACCTACATCCTTGCAAAATGTTCACTTCCATGAAGCCTTGCGCTATTTTCCTTCCAAAAGCTCGAAAATCAGTGGGAAGAAAGCAACCCAAACTAGACTCTCCATGTGCACTGTGTACTCTTGTGTATTCATGTTTAATTTTGAGTAAATTTCATTTTTTACTTCACATTCTTAATCAAAGTCAATAAAATGTTTCGTACTTTTTGTTTTTCCTTATACGTGATTACTTTTTTTTGTTTTTCCAAAGCAAAGGTTTAATCAGATGAAATTAAAATTATTGCATTTTCTCTATAACTTTAGAGGCACACATGTGCTGCAGATGGTTGATTTGGGTTTTGAACTAAATACACGCTCTCTATGATCTTGTGTTTGGCTTTCAGGGAACCTCTTGTAACGAATTGCATGTGGAGAAACTTGATCGTTCAGGTAAATTATTTTATTCTATGGAGAGACTAAAGATAATCATGGAATTAGGAATATGAGTTTCCGTAGGTCCCATTGTCTAATGGTATTATTTGTCATCGCAGGCTCTCTATCAAATCACTGTTCTTCTCGTTCTTAACTTCTCCGGTGAAAGTATTTTACCTGATCAAGATAATACAGCCCATGCCTTTCAAGTGAAGAATACTTTAGTATTCAATGCATTCGTCCTGTGCCAAGTAAGTTGATTTTTAAAATGTAGATATGAGATATTTGGCTGGTCCTTTTATATAGTAGACTGCCGTGTTTCAACCCCTCCCCCTCTTCTTCCTTCCTTCCTTCCTCACATTTTGAGGGAGGTGAAGGAGAGCAACCTTTATGTGCAACTAAACAAATACAATTGCAAGAATTTGTTAATTTTCTAATCCATTCAATTCTCATTGTCAGAATATCAAAAAAGATATCATGATATCATTATCGTATCTTAAAATATCTTGAGTATCTTAGATGACCACTTAAGATTGGTTTCTATATTTTTTTATATTTCATGATTTGTGTCCTTATTTAATTAGTATAGTATTAATATAAATAGGGGTTAATGTTTGTCTTTTGTATCATAACACATCATGCCACATCAATAGGCACAAGAATATCAATTTCTCCTTTCTTGTTTTCCTACTTAAATACTTATAATTTCAGCACTTATTAAACAATTTAAACGTTTCAACTTGCAGATATTCAATGAGTTCAATGCCCGGAAACCAGAGGAAATGAATGTCTTCCGAGGAGTGACTAAGAACCGTCTCTTCATGGGAATAGTGGGAATAACGTTTATACTTCAGGTAAATAGCCATCCTTTGTGTTGTTAAGGATTAACATTTCCATGCTTTCTCACTCTACTCCAAATTGCTAGATAATCATCATCGAGTTCCTTGGAAAGTTCACCTCGACAGTGAGGCTTGATTGGAAGCTGTGGCTTGCCTCTATTTGTATTGGCCTTGTCAGGTTAGTTCATTCAACTGCATTTGCGTTTGATTATGAAAGTTCTGGGAGTATCGATGAATCGTGCATTCATGCTTTTGGCTATTATCCAGAGTTCAAGACCTCTATGCACCATTTTTCAATATTACCATTATTATTGAATTCTTTCCCTCAACATATTCTAGCAGTCTTCTATAAACAAACTTTAAAATTTTCCGCAAAAGGTTGCTCTTAGATATTCATACCGGAACTTTCTCATTTTGTGCCTAAGTCATGACCATTGCTTTTGCCATCTGACAGCTGGCCTCTTGCTATAGCTGGAAAATTCATTCCAGTTCCTAAAACACCTTTGTCCCGCTACATCAAAAGGCCACTTGAGCGATTGAGGAGATCTCGTGCTGCACAATAGGCATCGTTTCCTGAAGTGGATCACCTGCGATTCATATTAAGCTAACGCCTGACAAGTAACAATACGTATTACTATGCCATATTGCTGAACTTTCCTTCTAGAATTTGAATATAATGTATATTCAACATGTCCCAAAGGCATTTAATAAAGCAATCTTTATGTGATGATGATGCTTTTTTACCTTTACCTCTTTTCCTTTTTTTAATATTATTGGGTCAAGTGTACATTGTAACATTTCTAGATATTGTTAGAATTACTGGTTTATAAATACTATCAAACTGACTTTCTAGCATTGGCTAGCTTCGATTCCCCAAAAAAAAAGAAAGAAAGGAGTGCATTTGCTTGGTTTAACCATTCATATTTCATATATCACGTAAACTAGCTTTCCTTCCCAGTTATAATATCCCATAACTTTTTCACACAAAAGAAAAAAGAAAAGAAAAAATTGTTGGTCTGTAGTTGAATGAAAAAAGCTGGCAATTTAAGTGGCTCAAGCACAGATACTATCCAACTCTCAACTTATCTGTCATAAGAATCGAGACTCTTTGACTAGTCAACAAAAATTCTAAAGGATTTTTTCGAGCCGAAGTGGCGAGACCAAATTCATTGTAGCAAGAACATGAAAATTCACAAAGGAACCAATACAAGGTTTGAGATAAATTACTGAATTATTTTGTTCGGGCTTTTTTATATGGACGTACGAAGTGCTATGAGCACTTCAGAAGTGTATAAAATTTTCAAAGAAATGTCAAAAAAGAGGATAATGATTCAGTCAGATTTGGTTCTTCATTTATAAGGGAGATTTGGTCCTGTTGTTGGAATATGACTGTTAGTTCCTCCCAGGCCCCCCCAAAAAAATAAAAAACTCTGCTTGCTACTATTGAATGAGGTCGAAGAAACGAAACGAAACGAAAAATTTATGAAGAAAGGAAAAGGAGAGAATTTTCCTTCTGAGGTTGAAGAAACAAAATGAAGCGTTCTGAATGAGAATGAGAATGAAAATATAAATGTAATTATTTTCGCCGTCTGTGGGAATCGAACCCACGACCACATGGTTAAAAGCCATGCGCTCTACCAGCTGAGCTAAGACGGCAAGTTACTACTTGGGTACATTATTTTCATCACTTTGAAACAATAACGATCTCTAATCTTCACATTCAAGTTCAATCGTGATATTTCAATTTCTCCTCTTTCAATCAATTAATGTATCTATCCTTTCTTTTCTTTTTTGGTAAATAATTAATGTATCTATCTAATAAATAAGTAAACCAATCTACCAAAAATATATAAATAATAATAAAGCCATATTTTTAGTCATTTAAAGATATAATTATCGTCACTTTGATTCTTCATATATTTTTGCTTATCAATTTAGTCTTTTAATTATGAAAAATGAAATTAAAATTGTTCTTCTGTATACAAATTGCAAGATTGAGAAATTCAATTCATATATTTTTTATGATTAAGAAACTAATTTATTCTTTATAATTGAAAAATTACATTAATGTAAAAAAATTAAAAAAAAAAAAACTAATGTGATGACAATTATATTTTTGGAGTTCTCAGATAGGTTTTACTTTAACAAAATAATGTAAAGGTCAACAAAATTAAATAAATATAGGTAAAATAACAAAGCCTTGTTTACTTTTTTTCCTTTTTCTTTTTCCGTTGAAAAATTATGCAGTGAGTTGGTTCAATGTTGCTTTTCTTAACATGGATATTTAGTGTTCGGTTGGAGGAAACTGAATATGAAAAATGTAAAAAAAGAGAAAATAATTGTATATCAACTTTAATGTGTTTAAAAGACTCTTTCTTAATTTGCGCATTTAACTCCAACATTAGACAAGTACAATGCTTAGAGAAAGTGCGTAGAATCGAGACAAATAATGCTACCTGCATAATTCTTACAATTATTCAGAGTTATATTGATGCAAGATAGTGTCCCTCCAATTGTAAATAAAAGAACAAGAAATCATACAAGCATCATCGTTCTGGTTATTTTGTGTTCGCTTATTTTCCATTTTTAACGTTGCCTATGGCGCTTATCAAAACATACATAGATAAGTTTTATTTATTTGTGAGTTCATTTTTCTATGGTTAATGTAAATAATTTATCTATATTGAACTCAAAACAATATCGTTTTAAGGCGAAAATTAAGATATTTTTTAATTATAATTTATTTCAGAATTATAATAATCATTTTCATTATAATTTTTAAATTTTTCAACACAAAACAACGTCATTTTGAGAGTAAATGTAGATAATTTATCTATATTTACTGTAAAAATATTAAAGCCTTTATTTTTTAACAAAAAACTAATATATTCTCTAAAATGCCCATTGAATATCAATTGTTTAATCCATTATGAAGAATAATTATGGAGCAACCATAATTTTACAAACTAAATATGTGCACAGAATATCCTGAGTACATATTACATGATAGTAATTTCAGTCTAGTGAACACTTGCCTCTCCTTTTTTTTTTCTTTTTTTGAACACTCAAAAAAATTTAAAAACAAAAAGCCTTAGGCCCTTCACACTGAAATTCACTCTGGAAAGCATTTGCTACTAGATGCTTGAAATTGTCTTCACTGCAAACTAACAGTAACAAGAATAGGCAAAGTGATTTTTCTTGGAAATGTAAGGGGACAAGAAACTGGAGGCAGAAGCAGATGAACCTTGAACATGAGCAGGAACCAATATCTGGGTTTTACCAGAACCAATTCTCTTACCAGCTACATTCGCATACAATAGACCTGAAATTGCTGGTACGAAAACATCACTCTGAGAACTAATGTAAAAGTCAATCACTTTCTCCATTTCAGAATCTTGAGAATCTAGGAACTTCATCTTCTTATCTGCGGGCATGATGGCTTCCTGCAACAAATTTAAGAGGAAATGAGAGGTTTTATACTTAGGGAAAGATTATATTTACAAACTTTTTGTTTACAAACTACACTGAGTATGATCAGTCATACTTCAATCAAGAGTGTATGACCGGTCATACTTAGTGTAATTTGTAAAAAAAAATAGTAAACGGATCCTTTCCCTTATACTTATAATATAAAATGAGTGAAGATTGAAGAATTTCCTTAGTATTCCAATGAAAAGATGAAATAAGAACAAACATCTCACCTTTGTGTAAGTTTTAGGGAACAAATCCTTAAGAGAATCAAGGCTGCTATCCCACCTTGATTGTGTCACATAAACTGTGGTATCCTTTTCATAACCAATCTTTCTCAAAAACACAGCAATCTCTTGTGCATTGAAGCAGCTCTTCTCTCCATCACTATCACTTCCTTGGCAACCCTTCTTACTCAACATCTCAACTCTCAAATCCACAGCTATAAATTGGCCATCTGAGTTTCGGCTTAAAGTTCTAAGTCTTTCGACCATGGAGTTAACAAGGTCACGCATTTCTGGCTGTAACTCTAAACTTCCATACATTGCCAAGCATGCTATAGAATCACTGTCACCTTTTTTCCCAGCCTTTCTCATGTTAATTGAAGGAAAGTAAGTTGCAAGCCTTATATTTCCCTTTGTTCTATAAATTGGTTCAACATGTTTAGCTATGTAGTCTTCAGTAACCCGATTAGGGACCTTCACAGCAGCAATTTTATGTGTTGATATACGAGCAGGAAGATCCTTTACCACTCTGACCACTCCTTCCATGCTTTTCATGAACACATCAACATCATAAATGTCCTCAAAGTTCCTGACACACAAATTATTTTTAAGTACAGCTTGTATATTTGAAGTAGGGATGGGGGGACAGCTAAATGTGACACTTCTATTATGAAGTAAAGCTTCTAAAGATACAGATGACAAAAGATAGATACTGAAACCACCTGCCCTGCTATTTCTTAAGCAATGCTAAGTAAAATTGTCTTTAGCAGTTGAAAAACTAATGATAACTCAACTGCGCCCTATAGTTTACAAAAGCTTTTAAAAAATGTGCTTTTACATTCAGAAAACCTCTTCTTTTCTTTCAAAAAAATGGGCCCTTAAATAGGAAAACCAATTACCATCAACAATTTCCTTCTTATACCCTCAATCTTTTATAGAATGAAAGTCAGTACTAACCTTTTGTCACCAGGTTGGCTTCCTCTGATGTCAGGGATCACAAGTGTTGCCCCAAGATTTCTAGCAACAATCACCGCATCTGCTATCTGGACAACGCATTACCAAAAAATTACGGAATATGGGAAATAATAATTGAATACATGGATTAAGAAGTCAGGATCAGACTTCACATAAAGTTATAAGGCAATGAATAAAGAACTAACAAGTAACAACCACAGATTGAGGGGGAGTAAAAGCAAAATCAAGTGTTCAACTCAATCCTAGTCATAAAGGTCAAAGTTCTAGATGATCATTAGATTAAGCAATATATTGAGAGCACATGCAATTTAAAGAATCACGTGGAGCAAATTAAAGTCAGTGAAGAGGCCACAAGTGAAAAGAAGTATATTGGTGCTGAAAGAAGATCAAGGGAGAGAAAAACAGATCAGGAGGATAAAAAACCCTCCTAACAAATAGAAATATAAAGGAAAGGAGATGTACAGTAGTGTTGAACAAGGGATGCCAAGCAAGGATAAGCTGGTATTTCTATCTATGGAGATACGGAAGGTATAACTGGCAAGGAAAGCTCAGTATCTCCAGCCAACAATCCGATGAGGAAAATAACATCGGTGTGTGTACGTCTGGGAGAATGTGGATGTTCTGGGGGATTGGAAGTTAGGAATGCTCAATGTGTAGCTTGTGTCTTCTTCCGACATTGTATTAGCCTCTTATAAGGGTTTTCTGGCAGTTGGGAGAGAGTGGAGAGACCGACCTGTGGAATACGCGGGCGGTGATGGTGGATGGTATAGTGGTAACAGGAAAATCGTGGGGGGCAAACCCATGACTCAATCTAGGGATTCGCGACGGGTTGCCTCGCAAGGGCGAGTTCTGCCCATTAATTGAGGTAACTTTCATACTCGCCAGGTGCCTAAACCATCCTTTCGGGTACAGAAAATAAAAAAAATGGGAATGGGAATAACTTCAAAATTTGCAATAACACACCTTCATAAAGGAGGAAATCGCACATAAATATAGTAAAACGATGGCAAAAATTATAAATCTCATCATAACAATTATCAGTAGCATATGGTAACTAGAATGTCATTAAATACTTTTATCCCTTTCTATCTTGTAGAAATAATACACAATAATAGCATCATTTCTTTTGGTGGGGAGAAGAGGGAATTATAAAAGGGGAAAATATTGCTGATGTTTGAGGAATAACTGTAAGTATCTATACATAACTGATACACAAGCAACTCCTCAATAAGTTAAGCACATTGGTTGAATCAGTTACCTGAGATATATGATACTCTGGGCCATTGGTTAATGAAAAGGTAACAAACCCCTCAGTCTGCTCGCCATCATCTGCCAGCCATAGCCAAAATATGAATTAATAAGGACAGAAAGATTGAGCGCAAGTAACTGTGTCTAAGTACATAATATCAGTTCCTTCACAGTTTGCAAGTCTTGAAAATCAAATCTTACCTCCAGATGGCTTAGCCCAACATGGATTTAACTGATCAGCATCTCCCTTCCAAAGCCCTATATTCTTTCTTACATGAGTAGCATCAAACTTTGAATTTTCAAAGCTGAAATCCTCTGTTGCTCCTGGAAGTTTATCCTAGTAAAGCAAAAATTGAAAGAAAGACAACTGAAATAAATTAATTGTAACTATGATTAAATCATTGTCTGTCTAAGAAATTAGAAGAGTAATAGTCAAAATAAATCTGCATCAGAAAGGCACTTGGAAAATGCATTGAAATGAGCCTCCTATTTTATAGTATAAGGTACCACTCTTGTTCATCCTAGTCACTATTTTATAGCTTTTAGTACTGTTCGTGTTCATTCTAGTCACTATTTTAATGAAAAATTATCTTTCACCATAAGCAATCATGGTTTCCTTGTTTGTGAACTAAGGATCTATCATCTCTACAAGCTTTAATTAAAAGAATGAAGACGACAACTTTAGATTAAAAGAAAGAAAGAAAAAAAGCGAAAGATGGTAGCTTTTAGTTTAAATTAAAAAAAGGGAGGATGAAATCTTACTTGAACCGAATCAAAATGGTCCCTTTTGATCATATGTATAAGCATGACGAACATAGTGAGGGTGAGCACACCAGCCACCACTTGCCTCAAATCCACTCCCATTTTGTTGGTATCACTCAAAGTGGTGAAGGCAAGATCAGAATCTAGAAGAAGCACTAAACTTGAAGTAGAACAGAAGCAAAACAAGGCATTTGAGCAATGAAGACCCAGAAAAAATAGAAGCTTTTAACAATAGATGGAGATGTGGGACACTGACAGATACTCTACCCTATAATATTCCAACACAAGCCAAGTGGGTGCTGTTTTGAGAGGGTATCTTTCTCCATTTCACCACCGACACTTCACCCTGACAAGTGACAATGATGTGCTTCCTATAATCCTACGTGGGATTTTCTTTCTTTGTACAGATTCTTTCTTTATGCTAATTATGTGTTTAGTGATTTTTTCTTTTTCAACGATATAATTTATTCTCACAAAAAAATAATATTCATATTTTTATTTTTATTTTATTCATTTTCTTTTTCTCTTTATTTATATATTTATTTCACTCAAAATGACACACATTTTTCATTTTTTCCTTGATTATTAGGTTATATTGTTTCTAAGTGAATGTAGATAAGTTATTCACATTCACTCTCACAATGGTTGAAAGATTAAAAAAATTAAAATGAGAAAGACTATTATAACCTTGAAATAAATTATAAGGATTCGTTTGTTCTGCAGTTACTGCAGTTAAGTTATCTGCAGTAAGCCCAATACGACGTCGTTTTGAGACGAAAATCATGGTGTTTTTATAATTTTAATTTATTTCAGGAATATTTCAATGTGTTATCTTTATAATTATAATTTTTTAATATTTCAATACGTCGTTTTGGGAATAAAAGAAGATAACTTATCTGCAGTAACTGCAGAAATATTTTTCTTAAATTATAATTACAAAAATACTATAATTTTCGTCTCAAAACGACGTCATTTTGAACAAATAACTTATTTACATTTGCTGCAATAAAAACGAACCCTAATTATTATTTTTATACTAAGTGAGAATTGGGTATATAATTTATTTAAATCTCTTGTCATCATACTAATCCGAGTGACTTATTTTATATTAACTATTCGATATAAACTTTAGAGAGAGAAAATCATTTTTTTTTAAACGTACACCTAGATGTGGCGTGTATTTTTTAAGAAGAAAGAAATTAATCTTAATAATGCCAACCCAAAATTGGTGAAGTAATTGGATTGGAGTTTTGGATGAGTGTTGAGAAAAGAGCCGTTTGTAATAACAAATGGGGTCATTTTATGGTTTTATAATTCATCCTAAGATCGAGATCCGAAACCAATGGCCACACATTGGAAAATATCAAAGTTGGAAAGTAGAATTCCTTCCGATGAAAGTATCTTACCTTATCAATTTACGGCACATTTACCAAAGTAGTGCATTTAACCAAAATAATTACTACTTTGACATAAGTGGGGATATTACTTGACAAACATATTTTCAGATATATCACTCACTAAACATATAAAAAACAACTTATTCAACTACATTTCTTTTATTTATTTTTTTAGGTAAATATTCAACTACATTTATTCCATTTTTCATTTTGTTAAATAGCGATTCAGGATGTTAGGGGTTTGAATGTAATTAGAATTTGTTAGGGGTTTAAGAGGTCAACCAAAGTTGCATTCAATATTCAGTATTAGTTTCATGTCTTTATCCAACAAAGTCATATATATATTCTTCAAGTTGAAGGAGAGGAATTAGATTATCCGACTAATCCGCCTCAAGGAGTGGCTTTTAAGCCTACCGCTAAATCCTCGTCCTTAATTATGATATGATACGTGCTTATTGTTTCAAAAGTCCAACGAGTTTCTCTTTTAATATCAAGTCATAGGGGAAAATGACGTTATCAATACTGAAAATGATTCTTCAACAAATTTTGTACACATACTCCTGCATAAAATTATTATAAACCCAAACATTGATGAATGCGATACATAAAGATAGAATAGAAGGAAAAAATAGTGATGGTTTATTCACCAAATAAAAAAAATAGTGATAGTTTGATTTACGCGAATTATGTTTTATGTTTTATATGTAAATAATCACTTCAACTCAGAATCTTAAGATATTGGGTGATGATTTTTTTAATGATTTATATTATTATGTGACAATATATTATCCGGCATACATCATAAATATCCGGCAAGTGAAGATGCTGCCTATTATGTGGTTGCAGTAAATTTTTATGTGCAAAGGTGGATCAGAGAATTTTGTAAGAGGAGATAAAAGAAGCAAAATTTACATAAATTTAAGCCGGACAGTGGATTAATACGCAATCAAATTTGAATAACTCTTCAAATTTTTTATATACATAAGAAATAAGGAATAAGATATTGTGACAACCAAATAATGTTACTACTAATGTTACTATCACATTTTAACCGTTGATTTCCGTCAATCAACGGTTATCATTTATTGCGAATTAATAATTAATTAATGAGTTTGATTTGAAAAATGATAACCGTTGATTGGCAGAAATCAACGATTAAGATGTGGTAGTAACATTATTTGGTTGTCACAATATCTTATCCCAAGAAATAATATGAAAAAAAAATTCGAATACGGAGTTTATGGGATGAACTTATACCATAAATATAATTCCTTTCTTTTTAAGTATAAATATAATCTCAAACAAAGATTTACATAAATATAAAGGGCGATCGTTCCTATTAATCCTTCCCTAACTCTATTATCACTGCTATTGGTTTGTGCCGTGATGGTGGATAGGGCAAATTGTGATTCGTTTTACTCTAAACAATTAAGGAAAAATATTTCTCATGTTGTATGATAATTATTTTTTTATGTTATGATTTTTTGATTTGTGTGTAATTTTTTTTTTTAATAAGTGTAAAGTCCACCTTAATTTTAATAAGTATAAGGTTCATCACTAATTAAATCATAACATAAAAAAATAATTCTCATGCAAGAAAATCAAAACACAAACATCGTGAGTGTATAGTCATATAGTGTCCAATTTCAGCCAGTAACGCTCGTAATGTCAGTTTCGTGGTAGATCCGGCTCTTTTATACTCATATTTTAAACACAATAAGAGTAATTAAATTTTGTAGTTGTAACTAAAATGGCATCAAGCCTCTTTTTAAAAAATTACTTAATCTAGAATCAAGTCTCAGCTAATGCAATAATGGATTTTGAACATTCATGGTAATAAAAAAAACAAATAAAATTTATATATTTTTGATGCAGAATACTTTAGGATGATGGATCCAGAGAAGGATGTACAACCCAATTATAATAACATGGATAATAACAAACGACATGTGCAGCATCTGTTTTTCTAATATATGAGGAAAAGAAACAAACTATGACAAAACAGAAAACCCATTTGGTTTTACTTTATGGATTTTCATGCTATACACATATTATATGGAGCCATATCTATTAAAAAAAAAACTGCACAAAAATTAAAAAATCACTGGTAGAAAATAATAATTTTTTTTACAATATGAGAAAAAATAATTCCTTACTTTATATGATATATTCATTTAAAAAAAAAAACAAGAAAAAGAAACAGGCAACCAATAAATTGAGACAAAAACAATTTGGTTATGCCGTGGAAAGTGGTTAAGGTTCTATTTTTATTGGTCAAATTGGTCAAACACGTCCTTAATATAAAAAATTGGTGTTGGGATACATTTTTTTTAATTAATATTAATTTTTAATTTATAAAAATACTAAAATGATCTTTTTCATAAGTTTTTTAAATATAATTAATAAAAAAAAGTTATACATACTTTTAATTAAAAGTACTTTTTATTTAATAAAAGCACAAACACACAGATCCTAAATCAAGATAATGAAGGCTTGGAACTTGGAAGGCCCGGGAGCAGGATTACGACTTCCTGGCTTAATCTATTAATTGTGATTACTATACAAATAATTGAAGTATTATTATGACGCTTACTTTAAGGAAACCACGTGCAATGTGGCTCATTTCTCATTAGTTAGTGATGTATTATTATTTTATTAATTAATGATCCATCCATCATTTTATTTTAGGGTTTTATTAGTGTTATGTAACATAATATAAGTGTTGTTTCCAACTCTCACATAAAAGAGAAGAGAGAAAGTGAAATGATGAAAGAGAAAAAAAAACATGTAAACCACACCTCTTTAATATGTGTGTAGGAATGTAAAGTTATATTATGTTAAATGATAAACATAAAACCCTTTATTTTATCTTTCAATTGAAAATTTGAAACCTCTCGTGTTGAATGACAAGCCCGTGACTCCATCAATCAACAGCAAATTTTGGGATCCAGTCAATGCTCGGTAAAATAGAATTTTCATTTTTAATATATATATTTTTATCTGACATGCGATTTTTTTATTGATTATTTTTGTTAAATATTTTATACTAGTATTTCGCTTTTATTATATGTTGACATGAATATTATATGCTACAAATTATAAAATACATAAAATAAAATATAAAATAAAATTTTAAGGAAATATGAATATAATAAATATCACTAAATTTAAATAGAAGACTAAAGATTTATGTATTAAAGTTCAAATCTTTTGATACATTTCTTGGTAAACAATATTGTTTCTCTTTTTACATGAATTTCCATTTTCATCTAAAATTAAAATCTTCAAACCATTCTTAGATTTTACTATAGAAACAACAACATATAGCTGTCTGTGAGTAAAAAAAGGCTTCGGTAAGAATAGTCCAACATAAAAAAGAGATTGGCTCATACTCTTATTAATGGTCATGGCAAAGCATAGACTAAATGAAAATTGTCTTCTTTCAAATCTCAAAGAAATGCCATGATCTGATGGAATCATATTCATTTGTGGAATGTAAACTTTATGACCAATATAATTTCTTGTAACGACAGTTACACCAATGATATTATTTCTTAATTCTTCAATTATCAGTCTCATTCTATTGCACAACCTAGAAGATTGGTCTATATTCCTTAGAAGCATAATGAGAACTCCTTTTTCAAAGTGATTTTATGATTAGGAAATCCAGAATACTTAATTTCATTTAAAAACTCTGTAGTGAACCAATCAGGTTCAATCCCAATATCTTCGTCTGCTATGCAATATAAGTCAGAACTCGAATATTCTTTCTCTTCACCGGTGACTTGAGAAAGGATAAATTCATTCACCATCTCAACTACTTCAAAAGTTGGAGCCAATATGGCTCTTTCTTCAAAGAACTTGAAGTCCTTCATCTTCTGTAGCAAATTTGGATAAGTGAACTGAACAATGCTAGCAAGAGGTTTGGTTGAATCCAAAATTAAAAGATCTTCTGGGATTTCTACTCGAGCAACATCATTAGTATCTATGCCAACTTGTCCATCGCCGACTTTGATTATCGAATCTACGAAATCTTTCATGAATTGATGTTCTGTTGACGCTGCTATTTGCAATCTTATGTTTTGGGTTAATGTAAGTATCTTACAATAGACCACAACTTTGATGAATTGATTGTTGCCGAAACAATGTCTGCCCTAGTTGCTTTTGGAATAACTGGTAATATTTGACAAAATTATCCTCTAAGAACAATACATTTGCCTCCAAATTGTCTTTCTTCATAATCGGAGTTAGTAAATCTCATAATGTCCTTAAGTGAACGATTAAGAGCCTCAAAAGGTAGTTTATTAATCATGCATGCTTCATCCCATATAATTAGACTGGTTTGTTGAAGAAGCCCTACCTTTAAAATCCCTTGTTTAATATTGCATGTCGAGAACTCATCAATTTTTAATGGAGTTGAGAATATAGAATGTGTTGTCCTACCCCCTAGCAAAAGCAAAGCAACAATCCCACTTGGGTGATGTTTGGATGAGCTTCTGCATTTGAAAAAATTGCTTTTTTTTATAAAAAAATACTTTTTGAATTTTTTACCTGTTTGGATGCTGGCTTCTTAAAAAAGGAGAAGTTAATAAAAAAGTTAAAATTCTACTTTTTCCTAAAGTTAAAAATTTTGACTTATAGAATAAGCAGAAGCCAAAAGCAAGGAATGACGCTCGTGACCCCTGTTTCTTACATCTCAATCTTCTTTCTCCTTCATTTCCATATGCGCTTCCATCTTCAGCAACTACCCCTGTTTACCAGAACCACTAACAAGGCTTTTTATTCTTCAGCCATATTTGATTTCTTGAAATTTTTTTGCAATTCAAATTCAAAGCAAATCAATCTTGGGATTTTGGGGTGAGGAAATGGTTTGGACCTTCTGAAGCGACTTCCAAGCAAAAAGATGAACAATATCTTAGGATGAAAGGCTTTGCATCAGGAGAGAAAAAATCAACAACAAGAAGCTTCATTTTTGTTCCTTGCAATATTTTGTTCTTCGATGATTTTGTCTGAGGATTGAAATTGGAGTGGGTTTCCCCGAAATAAAGAAGAAACGACATAACAATAATTTTAAACTTAAAAGTACTTTTTTATTTTAACATCCAACTAACATTTTTAGTTAAAAGTACTTTTCAAATATTGCATCCAAATGTAAAATAACTTTGACTTTTAAAAAAAACAACACATAAAAAGTACTTTTTTAAAAAGTCCATCCAAACGAGCCCCAAAGCAACATTGAGGACTATTTTACCTTGACACCGAACAGTTTTTGACAGAGTTTTCCAAATAAAAGTCCCACCATATCCATATCTCACATGTGTTATGTTGTACAACATAAATTATTTGATCAAAAAATTTTCTTTGGTCTTCATTCATTGTGGATAAAATGTCTTCAGATTCGAAGCCATTTGTTGGTGATTGTAGTTCAATTCGTCAACTAAGAATTGATTCTCGAATTCAGTAAGCGGACAATGATGTGGGAATGGCATGGAATGAAATTCTTTCAAAGATCTTCCATTTGAATTGAGCAACATTTCTATTTCAATCAAACAAAGATTTTTTAAGTCTGAAGTAGCAATTAAAAGATCTACAGTGAAAAATGAATCATTATATTATCTGATTGATGAGACCGTTGTCTATTAAAAAAACTATCTAAAGAAGTTATTTAACCCTTTTGAAGCTCTTTGCCAGCACATTGTGTTCATCAATCATCTGTTTCAAATCTTGAACCAAAGATTCATCCAAATTTCATGTATTGCTGCCCCTATTTTTTAAAAACAAGAGAACGTAATATATGAGTTATTGACTATAGTGATGAACATTTGATATATAGTATAAAAAAGAATACATTAAGCATTATGACATATTTGT